TTCCCACCTAGTTAGGACAGCTTCAGGTGGCACAGGAACCTGAGGGAAGCAATCTCTGTAGAACTGGACACAGCTGGTGCTTTCAGAGACAGTTTTTCCCACTTGCAATTAATTGTTAACAGCTGGAAACTGTGCACATATTTTTTCTGCAAAACGGCGTAATCCGTGCGCTAAACAGGTTACATGTATAAGATTTGGATAAAATACTTGTAAGGCTTTTGCTGCTTTCAACATATAGGAAGCTCCATCTGTGAGTAATACAAGCACCTTACAACAGTTATTCTCAATTACAGATGGCCACAGTAGTTGCAGAGAATCATTTACAAATCTTGCTATTGTGCTATAGTTGGTTTTCTCTAGTACTTTGCAACCAAGAAGATGAGGTTTGCCGGATTCGTCTGGATGTAGCTTACCAACCACGAAATTTGTCATGTATCGGCTACATAAATCGGTTGTCTCATCTACCAATGTCCAGACCAATCCAGACGATCCAGACACAGTTCCCTCCAATGTCAGAACGGACTGACTCCAGAGTAGAGACATACAGAGTTGATCCGTCTGGAATTTTTAAGTATCCAGAAATGATCGCAGAACTGGATTGCTTAATTTATTCCATGGAATGTTGCTACATACTAAAGCCTTACAAAGATGGGCTGAAAATGTATTAACAGAGGACTTGGGTTTGACCTGTGTAAAAAGTAGTTGTTGTGGTGTGCTGTTCTTCCCCTTCTTTGTGGTAATATGTGCAGTCGTTCTTGAGTGTTATTCATGTTGAAATTTCTTTTCACATTTTACTTCCTTTGCACAAACTTGACAGCACATGAGGACACCGTCTGCTGAATAGTCACTAAAACCCAAAACCGATCGATTTTTTAAATATCTACTGCTGCACATTTCTTTAGGCATTTTCAGTACATGAACACTTTTTTGATGCAGACTATTAACGAAAAGAGTAACGTATTAACTGAAAAGGCTTTTCTCAAGACCAACACTCTGATGCTACTGTCTGCTGTCATGGTCAATGGAATGCAGGAAAATCCCACCACCTCCCTTTCGAAATAGCCAAGCTACCTGCTTGTATTGTAAGTGGTAAAAGTGCCGTTATTCAGAGAGTTGAGAATAGCAACTGGCAAGGGATGTCCAAAACACAGGCAAAACCAATTTTGTTAGAGAATATTGAAATTATCCTTAATTTCAAACACATATGCAGAAATATGCTCTTACATTTAGAATATGCAATAATGGCCAAAACCCCTCAAAATGTGCATTTTCAAAAAATCCGGGCCTTAGTTATGACGGTTCAAATGATTAAGCTGCCGTTTTAGCATATGATACATAAGTTACACATGATCTGCTCTGTAAAGCCTGTACTGACAGAGGACTTGTGTGTAATGCAAAAGGAAGAATTTTCAATAACCTGTTATATCTGTGAAATATACGCTTGACGAAAAGCCAACCATATTCATAAGAGACAAACCCATCTTCTCATCAGAGAGGATGTTACATAAGGACTATTACAGCAAGAGTTCAATTTAAAAAAACTCTGGTTGTGGATCTCAAGGGGCTTGATGCCAAGATGGACAAGTGGTTAAACGCGACTCATAAAGTAACTTTCACTTTGACTACTGAGTTCTGAGTCGGAAGTGAGTGCTAGCCTGTGATAGTGACTGGTAGCCATGGTTAGCCAGATGCAGCTAGGAGTAAATGGCCAGAAGTTGCACCCATGAGGGACATTCCGCAATATCTGGAACCATCTTCCCGAATTAGCCCATTAAATTGAGGATAGACTGTACAAGTAATGCATGCACTTTTCTATAGTTGGTAACTGATTTGTATCTATAATACACAGAACAAATCTGTGTTGTGTTGTTATTGTTATTGTGATCATATCGATTTTTAAACACTGAATTATGCTGTATTCATAGGCTTTGGTGGAAAGCAGTGCAAAATTCATTCAAGGAAGTGTAAAGTTTCTTTTTCCTTCTTAAATTTTCAACATAAATTCAGTTTAAAGAACAGAATGAAACTGTAAATGAATCAAGAAATCTGAGTAAAGACAACATTTTTTGAAATAATTTATGTACTTAATATTCCATTTGTGGGGAAAAATCATAACATATATGGAGTCAACAGACCTTCCGAAAATGTGGCAGAGTTCAGGTATTTGGACAGTAACAAATCAAAATTCTGTGGCATATTTACTCCATGCAAGAACTGCTGAGCCACAGAAACAGCCGTTGCTACATAATACACGCACGCAACAATATAACGATGGAGTTATGCAATCCATTTCCAGCCAATGGCTCAGTAAACACATTTTCAGACCATGCTATGCAACGCGGTGACATCATCAACAATGCAGACTGTGCAGAGCACTTGTAGGAGAAGTGAATTCAGAAGCTAGGAGCACTTGAGATTCTAAGGATGAGAATGGAGCATGTCCTTAGTGAATCGTGAAGTTAAGTTGAGCACCGATCAGGACAGAGAAATACAAAGTGATTGAGGACAAGAAGACTTCATAGTAATTTGAAGTGATAGTGCCTGTGTTGAGATCCATTGCTAGGAGACGACTAGTGGAAACTGAGAATCCTAGCGTGCGTGAAACAGTAAACTGTAAAGTGTGTAAATCAGAGATAGTGCTATATTAAGTGTGATTAAGATAACTTGTAACTGTAGTGGCAATAAATCCAATCATCAGAACTAGAACCTGTTAACTTCGTCACACGTATGGCCGCGCCATAGCTCAAGCGGTTAGTCACTGTCTTCCCACCGCGGCGGCCAGGGTTCGATCCTGGGTCTGGTCAAGTGGGATTTGTGGTGGACAAAGTGGCGCTGGGGCAGGTTTTCTCTGAGTACTTCGGTTTCCCCTGCCAATCTTCATTCAACCAATTGCTCCACAATCACCCTCACCTATCATCTGGGGCTGGTACAATAGGCCAGAAGTGGCCACAGTACAAGGGACTTAGTCCCACCCCACTAGCAATAAAAAAAAATAGTCACACGTACCACACTACACATGACAATATTATTCCTGAGGAAATAAGAACAGATTAAACTTGGCTAATGAGTGTTACAATCTGTCCCAGAATCTTCTGTCTTTTTTCTGCTGTCTGAAAACTAAAATTATGAGGGTAGTACTGAAAGTCATGAGCAACAATTTTTTGTAATGTAACATGCTTTATTATTCACAAACCAAATACACCACCTCAATCTACAGACCTTTCTTTATTTTTCCACATAAACGCCACTTCTTTGTACACATTTCTCCCAGGGTTCTAGGAGTTTGGAAATTCCCCTTTTGTAAAATTCTGTTCCAGCCACCCAAAAACACTGACGCACTGCTTTCTGAATTGCCTCCCTTGTCTCAAAACGTTGTCCACGCAGCTGATCCTTCACAAATCCGAAAGGATGGTAGTCGGAGGGTGCCAGGTCAGGGCTATAGGAGAGGTGTGGAAGAACTTCCCACCCCATGTTTGCAATTGCTTCCAAAGTGAGGCGATCAGCGTGGGGGCAAGCGCTGTCATGCAGGATGATGATGTTTTATCCCAGACGTTTATAGCGCAATGCACAACGGAGCTTGTGCAGTGTCTGGACATAACGAGCAGCACTGATGGTTTGCCCAGGTTCCAGGAACTCAGCCAGAATAAACCTCCCTGCATGCCAGAAGACTGAGCCCATCACTTTCACAGCTGATGGTACTGTCTTTGCCTTCTTTTTTGATGGAGAATGCAAATGGTGCCATTCCATACTCTGCCGTTTCGTTTCAGGCTCAAAATGGTGAAACCAGCTTTTGTCACCTGTCACAATATAATCATCACCTTTGTGTCAATACCTCTGGATCAGTTCTGAGGTGATGGCTTTTCGCTGACCTTTGTGGTCTTCGGTCAATACCGCGGGACCCAACGAGCACAAACTTTCCTACAGCCCAAGCTTTCAATCATCTCCTGTACTGCACTGTGACCTATTCCAAGTTTTCGGGCTATTGTGTCCACAGTCACACGCCTGTCACCTTGAACAATCTCATCCACTCTTTCCTTGTTGTGTTCAGCTGAGGCTGTTCGAGGACAACCGCTCCAAGGCTCATCTTCGATGCTGATGTTCCCATCTTTAAAATGTTTCACCTATCTTTGAACACTGCTTGCACCCATGCACACATTTCCATAAGCACGCTGAAGTCTCTGGTGAATTTCTGCAGCAGGGATTTCCTCTTTCACGAGAAATTTGATGATGGCACACTGGCAAAAGGACATATCATTGTCGGCCATTTTGTTAGGAGTGATACTGGTCATGTGATGCAAGCTATAGACGTCAAGACACTTAAGGTTAACACAACAGCTGGTTCCACCTACCACCATACTCTCTTCTGTTTGCTGTTCCCAGGTTGCATGCAAAAAAAAGTTGCTCATTTCTGGTACGACCTACATAAAATATTCAAAACCATAATTTCGTCTGTGGTTCTGTATCGGTGTGAAACTTGGCCTCTGACAATAAGGGAGAAACATAGACTGAGGGTGTTTCAGAGCAGGGTGTTGAGGAGAATATTTAGAATGAAGAGAGATGAAGTAATAGGAAGTTGGAGAAACCTGCATAATGAGGAGCTTCATAACTTTTACTCTTCATTAAGTATAATTAGAATGATTACATTACAGAGGGTGATATGAGCAGGGCTTGTAGCACGACTGAGGGAGACCATGCAGACACTTCTAGCCAGCAGCTCAGCATTTAGAACACTAACGTTAGGCCCTCAGAGTCATCTGAATTACATTTGAAAATTCAGTCCATACCTCTGAGGAAAAACATACCATCTCTGCTACAAAGCCCAACTGGTTAATGCTGTTTAGGGAAACAGTCGCTATTTATTGTGAGAATCATACAGAACACATAAATACACTGTGTGGGCAGAATGCAGAGTTCAGTTCATACCTCACGGGAAACACATTAAATCTCCGGTACAGAGACCAACAGGTTAATGCTGTTTAGGGAAACAGCCGCTGTTTACTGTGAGAACCATATGGAACACATAAATACACTGTGGGGAAAATGAAGAGACTCTGAATGTTACAGCACGTGGTACTTATAGTAACCACTGGGCATTAAAGGGCTACGAGAATTCCCAGTTTTACCCAGTGCAAACGGAACAGTTTTGAGTTGCGCTTATGTTGTAGTCTCTACTACTATTTGAGAGGTGCTTGGCTCAAATCCTGACTGACTGTTTTGTGATAATACCTCGAGTAGGTCATGATTACGTCCCTCAAAATTCTTTCCCATTATAGTCATTCATTGATCATCCTACCATTCCATGCTATATAGTGTACCTACTGAGAGAATTACATATTATTAATAATCATCATAATCATAGGAAGAAAGAAGAAAGTACCTGGTGAAAATGTAGCAGCCGAAGAAATGATTACCAACACCTTCATTGTACATCCTCTTCATGAATTGTCCAACACATTCCTTCTGCAAGACACAGTCCTTGTAGCTGCCAAATATCATGGTTGGCTTTGAATGTGGCACACCTCGCCTTTGCCAGTAACTAAACTTGTACCGGAAATACAACCAGACGAGTAAGAGGAGACTGGACACAAACAGAACAGTGCCCTCCAGGAGAGAGTTACCCAGCAACGCCATTTTCTGTAACAGTCAGAAATCAATTTTTTTTTTCCATATTTTACCAAGCCTTGCATTTAACACTTTATTCACCATAATGTTACTTAGTGGGGTAAGACAGAGTTCACGTGGTACTGCAGCCACTGCTAGCGTATTGTACCAGCCCCGGATGATATATGATGGTGATTGTGGAGAAATTGGTGGTACAAATATTGGAGGGGAAAACCAAATATTTGGAGAAAACCTGCCCCGGTGCCACTTTGTCCACCACAAATCCCACATGACAAGACTTAGGAACGGAGGGAAGTCAGCAACTAACTGCTGAGCTACAGTGCGGCTGTAATGTTACACACGTCAGGTTGCAGTGGTAGTTGATGGGCAAGGCAGTCCCCAATCCTCAGAACATTTTATTATTCCTTCGAGGCATTAGAAATGGAGCAGGGGTGAGGAGGATGTACTACGCCGATATTTTAGAGTTTCGTTGTTATCCGCGACATGAACAATACCGAATAGTCTGAACAGTGCTCAGGGAAAGTCTATTAACCCTTATTTTTCTAATTAATATATATATATATCTTTTTTTTCATTGGCGCTACAGCCCTCATTTGGGCCTAGGCCTACCTCCATGAAACTCTCTGTTCACTTCGGTTTTACTAGATCTTAGACATATAGTAGGACTCCTTGGGCGGGTGGTCAGCTCGTCGAAAGGCCTCTACCTGTACACAAACACAGAAAAAGGCACACAAATATCCATGCCCTGAGTGGGATTCGAACCCACGATCCCGGCTTCCGA